GGAGCACCAAGGATGTGACCCTCTGGCGATGCCCGGCTGCGCCGTACTCGCCGCCAGGCCGGCGGCACAGGATGGAGCCCTTCCTGCCCTCCCCGTGGGGCTGGAATGGCTCTAGAGGGGGGTCCCGGCCCCCCAACAGCACTGCCGAGGCCAAGCCCAAGGACGTGGCCTCCAAGTCTGTGGGGCTGTTCTTCATGGTGCTGCTGGACCTCACGGCCATCGTGGGCAACGCCGCCGTCATGACGGTCATCGCGAAGACGCCGGCGCTCCGCAAGTTCGTCTTCGTGTTCCACCTGTGCCTGGTGGATTTCCTGGCTGCCCTCACGCTGATGCCGCTGGAGATGCTGTCGGGCTCAGCCGTGTTCGAGAGCCCGGGGCTGGGCGAGGCCGTGTGCCGCGTGTACCTGTTCCTCAGCGTGTGCCTCACCTCCATGTGCATCCTCTCCATCTCGACCGTCAACGTGGAGCGCTACTACTACGTGGTGCACCCTCTGCGCTACGAGGTGCGGATGACCGCGGGGCTGGTGGCCGGAGTGCTGGCTGGCGTGTGGCTCAAGGCCGTGGCCACCTCGCTGGTGCCCGTGCTGGGCTGGTTGTCCCCCGACCGCCCGCCAGCGCCCGGCGCTCACGGCTGCTCCTTGCAGTGGAGCCGTGGGCCATCCTGCAAGGTCTTTGTGGTCTTCTTCGCCGCCTTCTACTTCGTCCTGCCCCTCCTCATCATCATCGTGGTCTACTGTGGCATGTTCAAGGTGGCACGGGTGGCAGCCATGCACCACGGCCCGCCACCCACCTGGATGGAGACGCCGCGCCGGCGCTCAGCGTCGCTCAGCAGCCGCTCCACCATGGTCACCACCTCGGGGGCTCCTCGGACCACCCCGCAGAGGATGTTTGGCGGGGGCAAGGCGGCTGCCGTGCTGCTGGCCGTGGGTGGCCAGTTCCTCTTCTGCTGGTTGCCCTACTTCTCCTTCCAGCTGTACACAGCTCTGAGCACTCGGCCCTTGGCCGGGCCGGCGGCTGAGACTGTGGTCACCTGGCTGGGGTTCTGCTGCTTCACCTCCAACCCCTTCTTCTACGGCTGCCTCAACCGGCAGATCCGCGGGGAGCTCGGCCGGCTCCTCACCTGCTTCTTCAAGCAGCCCCCCGAGGAGGACCTGCGGCTGCCAAGCCGGGAGGGCTCCATCGAGGAGAACTTTCTACAGTTCCTCCAGAGCACTGGGCGCCCACCAGAGCCCCCCAGCTCCGAGCGGGACCTGCCCCCTGTGGATTTCCGCATCCCGGGGCAGATTGAGGAGGAGGCGGCGGAGGGGATGGAGTGGGGTGGGGAGAACGGGGTGTTCATGCCCGTGACGGGCTCTGCCAAAGCGGGGCTGTAGCGTTTGGGCAGGTCGGGGTAAATGTGGCTGTGAGGGGACAGATGGTCATAGTGACTCGTTGAGGGGGGGCTTTGTCACCACCACGGAGGGTTGGAGGTCCCACTGGGCTGGGGGTACACATTGCCACGGAGGGTGGGGGGTTCCTCAATGCAGCCACAGGGAATTGGGGGTCCCACAACGCCCACTGGGGTGATGGGGTGGGGACTCCTTGCTGCAGCCATGGAGAGTTGGGGGTCCCATGGCACTTGCTGGAAGTGGGAGTGATTCTCACTGCTGTGCGGGGTTGGGGGTCCCACAGCACTCGTTGGGTTAGGGGGGGGTGTCTGTCACCACAGCGGGGGATTGGGGGTCCTACGACTCTTGCTGATGTGTGTGGGGTCCTTATTGTGCCGGGGGACTGCGGGTCCCACCACGCTCATCGGGGTGTGGGAGGCTCCTCATTGCTGCCATCGCGGGTGACTGCGGCGGGTCCCACGACCCTCCTTGGGCTGATGTGCTGGGGGGTCAGCACTGCAGGAATTGGGGGTCCTGTGGCACCACCGCGGCTGGGGGGCACAAGCCCAGTGATGGGCCAGGGATAAGAGTGGGGGGCTCGTGTTTTGGGTTTGGGGTGGCCCCTCTACAGTCGGGGAGGGCGGAGATGGGGGGCTGCCTGCGGAGGGGGTCTCGGGAGGGCCCTGAGACCCCTTCTCAGCCCTGGAG